AAAGAAAGAAAGAAAGAAAGAAAGAAAGAAAGAAAGAAAGAAAGAAAATGATGGACACTATACTGGCTGCATTTCCCCACAGATCAAAAACACCCTGCATCTTTTCCATTCAGCATTCCATTAAAGTGTAACGGAGCCAAGTCTTATGTGTGGGAAAGTGTGTCTTTGTGTGTGTGGATCCCGTTGTAGTTACAACGGCCCCTCCCTTTGGTAACAATTTAACACCCACATGCATCCTCAGGAAGGTCAAAAGGGAAAGGCAAGAATAAAAAAACATGTTTTAGAAATGTTAACTAGCTCCCACTTCCAAAATTCTTTCCCCCACATTAAAAAACGACATCATGCATGTTTCCATGAGTGTCTGGTGGCTTTAATAAAATGAGTGGTGATATCGTCCATAGAAAAAATGGGAAGCTGGCAGCATGCTTTTCATCGGAAATGAGGCACTGTGCTGGGAATAACATTGGATTTTACAACATAAATTTAAAAGTCATCATCTTAATTCTGTATCCTTTTTATAATTCATACAGGAGTCTTGTGGCCATTTTGAAATGTTAGAGTCCTAGGGAAAGAAAAATCATGGAATTTCCATATTCATGGAAAAACAGGACCTTCTCAGATGACTAAAAGAAATCAAAATTCCATTCACAAAAGAAAAAGTAGGTAATTTCCTGTAATTTTATATTTGAAACTTCAATTTGAATCTTCAGCAGACTTAAGTGGCAAAGCACAGATTCTAGTCATCAGCATGTTTTAAGGTGTTTGAAGCAAGAGACACAAACTTGGGGGATTCACTGACGATATTTCAGCGGTATTTCTGAATGTGCTATGGTACCATGCTTTTTGTTAGCCTGTTTTGATCAATCTCTCTCCCTCTGAAGGAATGAATAAGGAAGTAAAATGCAAGACAATTGTTTACAATACACAGCCTAGCTTCAGAATCCTTAGACAAGGTAGATTTTAAAACTAGCTTTACCCTCAAATCCTTTTGTGACATCAAGCATGTTACTAAAACTTTCTATGCCACAGTAATATCCTCCCCTAAAACATAAATGAAAATACCTGCTTATCTGATAGGGTTGAAAAATGAGAGAATCCACAATACAGTAGGTTTAAAAGTTAAGGGACTGTTAGTACAGGCAACATAGTGCAAAAGGAAATGATATAAACAAAGAGGAACTGTGTGAGATAGCTTCCACAAGCTTGTTTTATCATCTGTAAAATGGGATGATTAACTCATAACTAATTCAACAAATATTCAGTGTTCTCACATGCCAGGCACTGTTTTACCTGCTAGGAAGGACAATTGTTCCTTTCTACCTACTCACAGGGATATCAATAAAGCAATGTCCACACAATACCATGAATTATGAGATTATTCACATATTTTTCTTTTGTTGGAAAAGAAATTTATTGAGCACCTGCGATGTTAAAAGTAATGAATCAGACAAATCCTGTCTCTGGGAGCTTAAAGTCTACTGTGGTTGCTGAATATACTGAGAGAGTCAGAATTGCCTTTAAAAGATAAAATGACATAAGTGATATGAGTGACAACCCAGTGTCCTGAGTGACTCTAGAGAATGTATGGCTCGGGGAGGATTCCCATGGGAGACTGGCTTGGGCTGATTTGATGCTGCTGTACAGGTGCTTCTCAGCCCGCTAGTCCTATATCCTTTCAAGGAGTGTTTACTGAGCCCTTTCTATGTGCCAGCCCCTACACCAGACCTACATCGTCATGGTATATATTCTCCAAGAAAACACTCATGGTTCTTGCTCACGTGGAATTGAGACTTCAAACAGGTTTTCCCAGTGCTTCCAAGCACAGAATTTTTACCAGGATATCCAAAGTATTACTCCTCAAGATAGGCTAGACACAATAGTGTGCTGATAAACCAGCTTTGAGAGGGAAGAGAGGGAAGAGTCCCTGATTTGTAACATTTGCCAATTCCTATAGTGTAAATACTCCCACTGTGGATGATTTTAAGCTACTAATGGTTTGACAAAAGGCTTGAAAAATTCCTGAATACCTAATCATTGGTTTTCATAGGCTGCTATGAGCCTGTTCTAGCATACTTTGGAGATCAGAGGGATTTTGTTTCCTCTGTAGCCTAAGAAATGGCAGCATTTGTTAGATTCCTGATGAGCATCCACCAAATGGCTCTTAATTCCAGTCTAAATTCTTCCTCAGGAATTTACAAAGTCCTTCCAGGATGTCTTCCAAGACCCACAGGCAATTGCCAGGGTGATTTCAGACTGGCTCCTCACCTTGGAATCAGAAATGCCCAACTAGGCTAAAGAGTGTTCTTTGGAATGCTGAAATAGCATCTTATGAAACAAAAGTTTAAGATTCAAACACAAAACAAAAACAAACAAACAAAGAAAAAAAACAAATTTAGGGGTACCTGGATGGTCCAGTCAGTAGAGCATAGAACTCTTGATCTTAGGGTTGTGAGTTCAAGTCCCACATTGGGTGTAGAGCTTACTTAAAAGACAAACAAATTTGTACTTGACCCTTTCAACCTTATGGCATGATTTCTAAGCTAAACAACAACAACAACAACAAATCTCAATTGTCTGGAAAATAATTGATGTCATAGTAGGAAAGAAAAAACAAACAAGGTCAAAAAAGAGAGAGACCCTGTCCACAAAGCCCTTCAGTTTGTAAGTTTGTAAACAGCTCTCACCACACAGAACACATGCTAGTTGAAGGGAACAAACTTTCCATATAAGTGTTGGGTGGGGTCCAGAGGTCCTCACCTACATAGCAAGCTATTTACTATTTTATAAAATACTCCATGCAAAAGTATATGCTCTGTTAAACTTGCCTTAACAGCAAGTACACTGGACAAGTATTGGTGGAGAAGGCAAGACAGTGCCCCTTGAGAAATACAAAACACAGCGTCCATCCTCCAGGAGCTTGCAGTCTGGTTGGATCGAGGCTATGCATCTTTACCAAAGGGTGACTTGAGGGAGTAAAACCAGGCATGCCACAGACTAATGGTCTTCAAGTGACATATTGTGGAAGGCCAATGACTTCCAAACACCTCTGTTTTCCAGGCTGTTCACTATCTGGTCCACCTACACTATCTCCAAGTTCCTTCCTCACACTCTCCATGGCAGTCATGGTAAACTTCTCTCACTTGCTCAGCAAGGTGTGTTCCCTCCTCTCTACAAGACTTCACATGTTCTGTGTCTTCTTATTAGGAGAGGCCCAGCTGCACACCATTGCTCTCTCCCCAGACCGTCTGCATGTGGCTATCTTGGAATCATACTTTTGTTTGTTTGTTTGTTTATAGCACCTTTATTCCTAATTATCCCAAAGAGAAACAACCCAAATGTCATTAACTGGTGAATGAATTCAGAAATTATGGTATATCTATTCAATGGCATTCCATACAGCAATAAAAAGGGAGGAACACACAATATGGATGTAACTCAGAAAAATCATTCTAAGTGAAAAAATCCAGAAGACACAGAAAACTGTACATACTGTATGGGAATCATACTTTTGATCTCAACTTAAGCACTGCTTTTTTTTTGTTTGTTTGTTTCATATCTTCTACAAAGCCTTTTATGACCAAGCTGTGTTTGCTGTTCCTCCTTTGGGCTTCAAAGTTCTGGGGGCATTCTACCATCCCTGGCTATATATCGTACCTAATTCTAACTTCCTATTTACTTGCTCACCCTCTGTGAGAGCTCATTTAGACTATATACTGTGATAAATATTTTGCACACATTATTTCATTTGAGGCAATCCATTTATTTATCTATTTATTTATTAAATTTTAGAGCTTTAGAGTGCAATTGGGGTAGGGGCAGAGGGAGGGAGGGAGAGAGAAAGAGAGAGAGAGTGAAAGAGAGAGAGAGAGAGAGAGAGGGAGAGAGACAATCTTAAGTAGGTTCCACACTCAGTGCAGAGCCTGACGCAAGGCTTGATCCCACAACCCTGGGATCATGACCTGAGCTGAAATCAAGAGTCAGACACTTAGCCAACTAAGCCACCAAGGTGCCATGAGGCAATCCTTTTAATATTACTATTTTGCAGAGGAGGAAATTGAGGCTCCAGAAAGTTAATTAACTGTGATAACACTTCTAGTGTATCAGTGAAGATTCTTGGGTTGCAGAACACAGAAGCGAGTATAGCTGTTTCAAGCAGGAAAATTTGTAAAAAGATACTATGTAGCTTATAGAAACTCCTAGAGGACCAGGGATATGGGTACAGAAGGTACAGAGAATTTGCATCCTACTTACTGTATATAGACACACCCAGGAGAAAGGCCCACTTACACCCTTGCCTGCATTACCCATCAATCAATACATCTGACCCTAGAGATGGGATACTGGAAATGTACCATTACAGAAGCTTCTTTCACTATGAAGATCTGCTCTCTCTGAACATAATCACCACCTCCCACTGCTCAGGGCCGCCTCCGAGTCTTGTGTGGATGCCATAACTGCAGTGGAGTTTACGCAATGCCATTTCTAGCTTCCCAGCCTCTATAATAAGAACGTCAAACCAGCAGGGCATTCACATGGGCACTGAGTGTTCCATCTTATAGTAACAGCTATTTGCTTTACTCAGAGCACGGAGGAGCTGGAATTGAAACCTTGACTTCAAAGTCCATGAATGGAATTGAATTGCTATCTTACTCCATATGGGTAGGTGTCTGTGTGGGACGCAGGGTATCTCAGCCCCCTCCCCCTCAGGAGCCCCCTCTAGAGTCAGACTGCAGGATTCAAATCCCAACTTCATATCTGTATGGCCTTGGTTAATTCATTCAAGCTTGCTGGGCCTAGATTGGCTCATCCATAAAATAAAGATATTTGTATCTACCTGATGGGGTTATTGAGACAATCGAAAGAGAAAATCATCTGTGAAGTGTTTGGCCTATAGTCAGTGCTAAATAAGACATTAGCTTCTGGTATTATTATTGTTGTTATGCTATCATTATTTGTTATTATTATCCTGTGCTATTGTCACTCTGAGGGATGATATCCTAGGAGGGAAAATCGTATGTTGAATAAAAATGCTAGACACGTACATTTGCATGGCACATTCATGGGGCCATGAGATCCTCCCTCTTCCCGGAGTGAAGAGTTCCTGCAAGGGAGTAGTGGGTGATAAGGCTGCGGATGGATGCAGAGCCGCATTGCACTGAAAGCTTTGAATTCCCTGGGAGAGGGACTCAATTGGGCCCTGGCAGAGACCTGCCTTGGAGGTGGTAGTCACAGAACTATTCCCAGCCTCTGTGCTTCACATCCTCACCCCAACACAAAAGGGAAGGATGAGTGACACCTCAAACAACTTTGGAGAGTCTAACAACAATTTTCAACTTCAAACAGGCCACACATAAAAGTTGAAGACTTTTGCTACAAACCCAACCACTGGGAAATCACTGTCTGGCTGACATTAATTCCCCAGTTACTGTGAAGCCGTTACTGAAAAATGCAACTTTTTTTTTTTTATTCCAAGTCCTTTAACATTTCAATCTAGGGCATGGGCAACGTGGAGCAAATCCAGGTCAGCTCCTGCTTTAATCCCCAAAGTGAGTATCAGTGTTAACTCCATGAGGAATTAAGGTCCAGAGGTGAGGGCAGGGGGAGACGAAGGGCAATAAGAGATCATTCAGATCCTAGTAGAATTTGCTTTCTCTATGTCAGCCTCGATATATTAGAATCATCATTGTTATTGTTTGTGTTTAAAAGATTTTTAATCCCACATTACATTTTTATTGCATTTTGGAGTCTATAAAGCTCATCTCTGTATGTTGTCTTTTTTGATTTCATTTGATTTGTGAGGATTGGACAAGTTTGGTTTCAGAATGACAAAGGTTAGGAGTAGAAGGAACCTCAGAGATCATTCTAGTTTTGTTTCAGGATGAACCATCTCAGGAGAAAGTGTCGATCATGGCCTCACTGCCAGGCAGTGTCAGAATTTGGGATAGCTTCCAGATCACCAGATTTCTAGATTTAAAAATTGGAAACATTCGTTGAGTATTATGGCAATGGTATGTGACATTGGGACTAGGTATAGGTAAAACCCTGAGTTTAGAGATTCCAGGCTAGTGGGAAAACAATCAGCGACTTAGGCAATTATACCAGTAGAGCGATGAACAGATGAGGCAGAGTTCAGTACAGATTGAGATAGAAATACCTATTCTCAAGGTTTCAAATTGGCACAGAAATTTTCAGGGGACACATAGTTTTAGTGTTTTGGATAAACATAAGTCCACTGTTTAAAAAAATATAGTCATGCAAGGTAGAAAATTACAAAGAAAAAATAATTTACTTAGATGCCACTACTCAGAGACAACACATTGTTAAAATCCTACTTAGCATCCTTCCAGATATATCTCTGTAGCCATCTGATTCTGCATAGCTATAAATATGGTTGCAGGTAGGGGCGCCTGGATGTCTCAGTCAGATAAAGGTCTGATTCTTGATTTCGGGTCAGGTCATGATCTCACAGTTGATAGAATCGAGCTCCATATCGAGCTCTGCACTGACAGTGCAAAGCCTGCTTGGGATTCTCGCCTTCTCTGTACCTTCCCTGACTGATGTGGGCACATGCACGCTTTCTCTCTCTCAAAATAAATAAGTATACTTAAAAAATATATATTATTATAGCTATAGATAAATGTATTCATATATGCAATCATACTATGCATGCTGATTTGCAAACTCATATTTTATTTTATTGTGTGACATGAACAAATGTTAATATCAATAAACATAGAATTACCACATCATTTTTAAAAGTTGAATATTATTTCACTATCTGGATGTACCATATTTAACCAGTACCCTATTGATGGTCATTTAGGTGGTTTGTAATTCTTTGCCATTATAAACAATGATATGATGTGGGATTTTACATGTGTGTTTTGCAGAGTTACATGAAATGTGTCTTTAGGATAAATTCCCAGAAATGGAATTGCTCTGGATGCCCTGCACTGCTGATTTGATACAGATTGCCAAATGGCCTGAAGAGTTACTTTTCAAATTTTAGGTCCCAGATGTCCAGTTATGGTGGAGCCCTCCCTACCTTTAAGCTCACTGTGAGCTCCCCAGATTCTGCAAGAAAGGCCAGGGTAGAGAAAATACCCGGCGAAAAACACAACTAACCTGTGCCTGGTTCTGGAAGGTTCTTCACGCACATTATCTTGTGCAAGCCACAGATCATTCTTAAGAAGCTGGTATCGTCTGATCTACTTTATATATGAAGACTCGGAAGCTCAGAAGCTGGATAAATTCCTCAAAGAGAGAAGTTTGCTATTGAAACTTGACTTTATGGGGCCACAAAATGCCCTGGGCACTTGGAGGATGAGTAGTAAAAGTAGGGTGAAGAGGCCAAGCTTTGTCTACTTTGAATGCTTACCCTCAATGTCACTGCTCCTTTGTCCTGTTCCTAACACTCTACAGAAACCAGTGCTACGGATGGGTACGGAGCCAACCCTCCCTCCATAAATGTCAGCACCTGCCTGGGGCTCCTAACATTGGCCTTTATCTTCCCCACAGGGCTGACTTTTTTACGAGTTGAAGTCTGAGAAACAAGTCAGTTTCCCACTTCTCTAAAATCTTAAAATAGGAAACATCAGCCATAAGCTATGAGAGCAAGCCAGCCAAGGTGTATGTTTGCTGGAAATAAAACTGGTAGGTCCTTCAGGGCAAGGGGGGATGGACTCAGGGGCATTTCTTCACCATCTGTTTCAGCCTCCAATGTGTCTTGATAGATGGTTTTTGCTTATTACTCATTACTCACCTCATCTTTCTCCCTGAGCTCCGTTCCTTGAAATATGGTTCTCTCATTTGAATAGCAATGACTAAGTGCATTGGAACTTACTTAAATACATTCTAAAAACATTAAATTGAGAACACACAATCCAGCAATGTACCAATTGCCAAACTCTAGTAAAAGTTGAAGTGATTAAAACAATTTAATGCATGAAACACGCGTTCAGGAAGGCAAAGAGAAAGAGTAAGTTTTTCCAGTGCAACGTCAGCCCGGTGATATTTCGGAAGAAGTGGGTGGAGGCCATTGCCAAGAGAAAGTGAAATAATTGATGAAGACCCAAAGGAAAATGCCCTTGATCTCGAAGTTATTACTTCATTTCATGAAATACCTTAAAAGTCAATGACAGACTATAAAGTCAGAAAGTCAATAGTTTTTCCCCCCCTTGGATACAATTCCAATATGTGCATATAAACATGTCAGGCAGTCCTCTAGAAAAGAAAAAAAACTATAGCTTGGGGTCTGGGTCATGTTTTCAAATAGCCTTATTATTCCTGTTATGAAGTGGACACTCAGGTATTTGGCTCGGGACTTTTATCCACACCCAAGTGATTGGGTGATTTATAACTTTCTATCCACATTCTCATAGCTGTTTGGTCAATTTAAAGGCCTAAAACTGGGCTTGATGTTTACTCTATCAGGAAAAGAAACATGTGCGCGTACACACACACACACACACACACACACACACACACACAGCAAATTCATATCATAGATTAACCACTATCTCAAGTGCCTTTGCCTGGGAACCAGATTCTATTTATATCTTCCTCCTTCCCCTTCTTTCCATCCTCCCTTCCTTTCTTTCTCCCTCCCTTCCTCCTTCCCTTTCTCCTTCCCTCTTTCTTCCTTTCTTCTTTGCTTTCATCCTTTTATTTTTCTTTTTTTTCCTTCTCTCCCTGCCCCCCGCCATTCCCTTCTCTTTCTCCACCTCTCTCTTTTTTTGATATCCATAATTGAGGAAAGAAATGATAGACTTCATCTTGCCTTATTCCAACTGATTTCATCCTCTTTTATTTTGGAAATAGTGCTTAACATCTTAAGAGAAAATGCTTCTTGTGTGTTGACTGATCCTGATACTTTCTGCTTCTTGTTAAGCTAGAACAAGCAACCAGAGAGCATCAAAAAGTAGAAAAAAAATAAAATTGAAATCTTGGCATTTCTCCAAACAAAAAAAAAATCCATTTGTTTGTTCATCGTAAATAAATATTACTAAGCTCCTCTAATAATAGTCCTGGTTACTCACACATGGGCTATGGCAATGGGCAAGAGAGGGATGATACCTGACTTCACTGAGCTTAGAGTCCCATTGATCAATATTTACCTTATGAAACAATGCTGTGGATATGGTCTGTTACCATCCCAGGCATTTGTTTCTCCATATATATACATATATATATATATATATATATATATATATATATATATATATATATATCACCGTGGGGCCCATGGGAATTAACATCATCTCTAGTTGAAGAGGTAAGCCTTGATTGGCCTAAATCAATTCATATAATCTCATCTATTGTACATCAAGCTATTGTATCAGGAATGGGCACACAAACTGTTGTTCCAGTCAAACTGAGGACTCTCTTAATGATTAAAGAAAGAGAACTAACTCCCATCTCTCACTGTCCTCACTGCCCTCTACCCCACCCCTGTTGGACATGAATAAGGAAGCAATCAGCTATTTTGTGGCCAATAAGTGGGCCAGACCTATGGGAGTATGGAAAACAAATTGGAGAACAGAAGGAAATCCATTCTTTGGTAATATCAGTAAGCTAGATCAAACCCTACCTGAAACTTCTTGACTTTCAACTACACCCTTTATTTACCAGTTTTAGTTGGATTTTCTATTACTTAGATATGAAAGAATACTAATGTACACAGCAATGTCTTATTTATTCAACAACTTCAAGAAATAAATTTCTCACACAAATGTTTCACCTAACTGAATGAAGCTTGACACATTATATATCAAATCTATTTGACTTAAACTGTTTGGGATGGGATTTATTATAAATTATGTTATACACTTCAGCACCTTAAGAATTATGCTGAATAGAGGATGTGCAAAGTGCTCTTATAATCCTAAATACATCCTCCATCTTCTTGAAGAACTCCAACACTTCTCAAACTATTAACATGGGTTGGGTCATTGTCCACATGCCAAATTTATCTGAATATTGTCCTTTTTTAAAGGCTGCTTGTTGTAGTTTTACAGTTATAATTCTAGCTTCCAGCTTCCTCTCTTTGTAAAGATTCCCATGCCATCTTTTAATAACTATTCCCTTCATGTAATTTGTTGCTTATAAATCTGTTGTAAGCCAGGAAACCAAATAGCCAAATCTGCTAGAATTGTGTCTCAAATAAGAGAGAAAGGACACTAATAAATGCCTTGGTGGGTTCAGAGAAGCAAGTCTCCTGTGAACCACAGGTTCTTAATCTTGTGGGAACTCTAGGGTTCCATATAAAAACCTCAGAAGGCCTGCAGAGGGGATAAGGAGTCAATACAGCTGTGGGGTCCTGGAACCCCCAAACCCTGTTTCATCTCCACTCTTGTCTCCATTTTGTCCATTTTTCCTTATCATAAAACAAATAATTAGTGTTCTGGAAAATACTTTATGTGAAAAAAAAGGATTCAATTCTTTAAGAACAAAAATGAAAACTGTTCTTCTTTGCCACTTTAAATAACGGGATACCATTTTACCAGTCTACTTGTTCTTCCCAGGTAAAATATTCTCCACTAGTGATAAACTCTTGGATGTGGAAAATTGTACAGTTCCAATGATCGCAAGAGATACAAGAATTGCAGTCAGTGCCTTATCGACTCCAATGGCTCCGTTTAGTTTTACAAATGTTGTTTATTCAAATCCTACTTCAACAAAGTTCATCTTTGCAAGGTCAATATTCTACCATGTTCCATTAAATCTAAGATGGCATCAATTTTAAGATACTCTATTATATGTAGCACTAAGAAAGAAAGAACTGCGATTAGACTGTAAACTACATAGGCCTTTTATGCATCCCTTCACATGCAACAGCTCTGTGCAGTCTTTGGCCCACTTGTATCTTGCTTTATGCCCCAGAATTTCTCTGACACCACAGTATGGGATGCCTACACTTTGTACTGGCATACCTGCAACAAAAGACTTGGACAAGTCATGCCCTATGGGGCCACTGCAACCAACTGCCCACAATATCCTCAGGCAGATGCTGCAGAGCCAAATTTTAATTTTTTTTTTTCAACGTTTATTTATTTTTGGGACAGAGAGAGACAGAGCATGAACGGGGGAGGGGCAGAGAGAGAGGGAGACACAGAATCAGAAACAGGCTCCAGGCTCTGAGCCATCAGCCCAGAGCCTGATGCGAGCCTGACGCGGGGCTCGAACTCACGGACCGCGAGATCGTGACCTGTCTGAAGTCGGACGCTTAACCGACTGCGCCACCCAGGCACCCCTGCAGAGCCAAATTTTATAAGGCTCTCCACAAAAGGTCCAAGATGAATTGCTAGTTGCCTACAGTCATGGCCATTCAATAGTACTGACTTGCATTGACATCCCCTCCTTCCCTGTTCACACACTCACTGTTGGCCCCAAATTAAACTACCTGCAAGAAGGTGCTACAGTCTCAGGCAGGCCCTATGAATAGTAAGACACATCCCAATTTAAGTTGTGAAAATATTTGCATCTTAGAATCCTGAAATATGGTAATTTATGAGACTAAGACACAAATTTGTTAAGTAAACAAATTGATATCAAAAACAAGCACCTCACTCCAAAATAAATAAATAAATTTAATATGCCTACAATTTTTTTTTTTTTTTTTTTTTTTTTTTTTTGCATATGGTTCTGTTTTAGTGCCTACTGCTTTGCATCTCTTATCTATAGCCCTGGGCAATACTCCCTGCTGAGCCCAATAAGGATGCTTTGCTCCTGTAAACTCCTCAGCCAGAGAAGAAAGACTGAATTATGTTTATTTCACTCACTGCAGAAAGGCAGAAAAGTCCATTAGGGACTCTCACAATATTTCTTCAAACCTACTCTTACTGGTTTAATAAATGGCACCTCCATATATCCAGGAGTTCATAGCAGAAACTGGAAATCATCGTTGATAACCTCTTTCCAAGCCATGATACTCAATTCATTAACAAGTTATGTTTAACCTTTCTCCTTAAAATTTCTCAAATCTGTACACTTTATCTTTGCTGTCACCACCTACCTCTCCTATTCTATGCCACCGTTATGTTTTGCCTGGACATTCATTGTATCTGAACTGGTCCCCACTTCCACTATCTGCTTAAACCCATTTCCCACACTATTCCTTCCTTCCTTCCTTCCTTCCTTCCTTCCTTCCTTCCTTCCTTCCTTCCCTTCCCTTCCCTTCCCTTCCCTTCCCTTCCCTTCCCTTCCCTTCCCCTCCCTTCCATCCATCAATCCATCCATCCATCCATCCATCCATCCATCCATCCATCCATCCCATCCATCCAACCTCCACCCTTTATCAGGTATTTATTGAAAGTCTATGTGCTAGGCACTGTGTTTTAGGGTTTGAGAATTCAA